AAGAAAAGAATACAGCATCTCCCCCCCCCCCCCCCCCCTAAAATGGCTAAATCCCATGGTTCCTCCCTGTTGGGCTCCTTTCCTACAAATGCACTTTTATCCCTATCTCACCCAGGGTTTTAACTTTTTTAACATTTTACCTCACACATTTGGCCCGCCCTCCGTGTCTGGTTTTAATATGCTGTTTTATATTGTTGATTTTGTTATTTTATATTTTGTTATGATGTATTTTGTTACTGTGTGTTTATTATGTTGTATTATTTTGGGCTTGGCCTCATGTTAGCCGCACCGAGTCCCCTTTGTGGAGATGGTAGCGGGTTATAAATAAAGTATATTATTATTATTATTATTATTATTATTATTATTATTGTTGTTGTTCATTCGTTCAGTCGTCTCCGACTCTTCGTGACCTCATGGACCAGCCCACGCCAGAGCTCCCTGTCGGCCGTTACCACCCCCAGCTCCCTCAAGGTCAGTCCAGTCACTTCAAGGATGCCATCCATCCATCTTGCCCTTGGTCGGCCCCTCTTCCTTTTGCCTTCCACTTTCCCCAGCATAATTGTCTTCTCTAGGCTTTGCTGTCTCCTCATGATGTGGCCAAAGTACTTCAACTTTGTCCCTAGTATCCTTCCCTCCAGTGAGCAGTCGGGCTTTATTTCCTGGAGGATGGACTGGTTGGATCTTCTCGCAGTCCAAGGCACTCTCAGAACTTTCCTCCAACACCACAGCTCAAAAGCATCTATCTTCCTTCGCTCAGCCTTCCCTATGGTCCAGCTCTCACATCCTTAGGTGACTACAGGGAATACCATGGCTTTATTATTATTATTAATATCAATTTTCTTTTAAATCATAAGTGCAAATGTTTTGTATCTTATTGTTCCAATTTTCCCCAATCTTCCATTCCTATTGTATGGCCTATATTTGTGGCCCACTTGATCATGCATTCTTTGATCTGCTCAGTTTCTGTAATCCATTCTATTTTTTGTAATTTTCAGAATTACTTTCATCTCCATTTTCATTATTTTGTCCCCAAAAAGAATCCTTCGCAGCAAATCTGATATCCTTGTGATTGCAACTTAATTTTGGCATGTTTCAATATATCTGTAAATGTTGTAAGCTTATAGAACTTATAGAAAGGTGAGATATAAAGAAAATGGAGGAGGAAGAGGAAGAATCATAGAATATAACCATTGGAAGAGACCACATGGGCCATCTAGTCCAACCCCCTGCCATTCAGAAGGAGGAAGGGAAGAAGAAGGTGGAGGAGACAGGGAAGCAGCACCAACAGTTCTAAGACTTTGACAGCCATGCTGAAAGCTATGAGAAGTCTTCAATATCTGCCATCTCCTGCTGTGGAGCAGGATCCCCACTGCGTCATCCCTCAATTTCCTGGACCACTGACACCAGGAGATGGACACCAGGCATACAACTCTTGACTGATTCTAGAGGTTGAGTTGTGAGAAAACCTTGTGATCATGCTGAAAAAGGAGAATTTCTCAGTCCTGTATGCTAGTGCAAGAAGTAAAATCAACCTGAAGCAACCTATACAGAAAGAAAGACATAAATGCAACAGTTCTGGTGGTAGTACCTGCTTTCCAGCTATATCACAGAGCTCTTTGCCTCAAGCCCTAAGCTGGAAACTGCCCAAAGGCTACATAACAGGCGTGCACATTAGAGGAGGCTTTGCCTCTATTTGAATTGTTGGTTGACACAATGATGGGGAACCAGAAGAGGTTATACTTCCCAGTCCTGCCATGATAGGCAGATGAATGCATATTGATCACTCATGCAGCTTCAGCTGTAAGGCTCTTCAGTGGCTCATTTCTTTTGCAGACAGGAACAACAAACAAGGCTTCAAACCAACAAAAACACCAGATCATACTTGGAATCTATTTCCTTCCTCCTATTTCCTCTGTGTGCTTCTGGAGGCTGTTTCTGGTCATGGTACAAGTGGTTTATTAGATACAGAATTGCATTATGCAGCATAGTCTTAGCAAATGATCATGGCAAACACAAAGGAACAGGGCTCATGACAAACTCAATATGCTGCACTGCCAGCATCACAGAGCACCTTCAAATTGTCATTTTATGCAAACAGTATTCTCTATCGTCCATCTGTCTTCCTAGCCTTCTGCACAGGAAAGAGACATCCAAACCCCACACGGCTGTCGCAAAATAGAAATTGCTTGCTTTATTTGCAGGAACAGGATATGTTTGGAAATTGTACATATTTCATCAGGGCGATCTTATAATGAACTTATCATGGAAACAAGAAATCATGAATGTCAGTCAGACCTATTGAAATCAATGGCTTCTACTCCTCTCCACTTTGAACCTAATGAACTTTACCAGCAATGCCTCAGAAAGACCTCTCATGTTTTCTCACTCTTTCAAAGGAACCCCCGGTGGTGCAATGGGTTAAACCCTTGTGCTGGCAGGACCGAAGAACGGCAGATCGGAAGTTCGAATCTGGGAAAGCGTGGAAGAGCTCCCTCTGTCAGCTCCAGCTCCCCATGCGGGGACATGAGAGAAGCCTTCCACAAGGATGGTAAGACATCAAAACATCTGGGCGTCCTCTGGGCAATGTCCTTGCAGATGGCCAATTGTCTCTCACCAGAAGTGACTTGCAGTTTCTCAAGTTGCTCCTGACACACACAAATCTCATTCAAAAAGATGTCCTGTTGAATTCTGAGTTTCTCTATATGAGCTTTCAATTTGAAACTCACCACTGCAATTTGGGCAACAACCCAAAATTCTTTGTTAAATTTTGAAGCAGTTACCACAATGTCATAATAAATTATGTGATCGGCCTCCTTTTGTATTCAGTAAGCCCCCATCCCAATGAGAAATTTCCAACTTTTTGACTTGAAAGGTAATCCTGCCACATTGATAACTTTTCTCCCAACACATGCACCAAAATTTGTTTCATGGCCATAGTAGTCCACATTCTGATTACATCCCGTATAGATTAATGCAACATGCTCTACGTGAGGTTGCCTGTGAAGCTACAATTGGTTCAATAGGGGGAAGCCAGATTTTTCACTGGACCGGCATACAGGGAGCATACAACCCCCTTTTTATGCCACCTTCACTGGCTGCTAGTCTGCTACTGAGCACAATTCACAATGCTGGCTTTAGCCTACAAAGCCCTGAACAGTTCTGGCCCAGTTTACCTGTCCGAACGTATCCCCCTCTATGAACCATCTCAGAGAGTAAGATCCTCTGAGGAGGCCCCGCTCTCAGTTCCATCTCTCTCGCAAGCACAATTGGTGGGGACGGGAGATAGATCCTACTCAGTGGTAGCTCCTTGGCTATGGAACTCCCTCCTCAATGAAATTAGATCAGTGCCTGTTCTGTCGCATGCTGGGCCTGTAACAGCTGTACTTTTCTATAGGATGTATACTTTAAGCCCAGAGGGAAGCCAGGGGCGCCTCAAAGAGAGGTTCTCAGGGATTTTTCTGAAGTGATGCTCTTTAGAGTCTTTAATGATACAACAAAGTCTTTATTATGGAACAAACAACAAATCTTCAATGGTTCAAGCAACACTTCAAGGCTTTCTTAGTCTAGTCCTCAATGGACTGGTACCTGGCTTTGATTAACTGTACTTTCTCTGTAGAAAAAAACCCTATTTAACCTCTCCCAGGCTGTTTACTATCTATGCCTCATCGGTGTGGGACCTATTACCAATTCCAAATGCGTCTGGGTATTGAGTAGACCTACCAGCCGAGGCTTGAAGATATTTCAGCTGGAGTTCCATGGATCTGTAATGCTGTTCTCCCTTCGAGAATTCTTAGAAACTTCAGGGCTGTTCCCTCTGATGCTGTGAGGCTGAGAGGCTGTGAGCTCTCAGCCAGAGCTTTTGGGACCTTTCTCCTGGAATTTCTGCTTCTGTATCCCCGGATGTTACTTTTTCCCTGGATGGTTATTGAGAAAGGAAGCTTTTCTACGGGATGAGCTGGTCTATGTCCTATAGCTTAGCTACCTTGTGTGAGACTGCCCAAAAAATGGCTCCTTTCCCTCCCAGAGCCCAAAACAAGGGGTGGAACCAAAGTTTAATTATGATGGACAGGAGGTCTGTCCTATAATTACAAAACAGATAACAGAAAGAAAATAAAGTTGGAGCTTCTGGTACAGCCATACCAGCACAGTGCCCTTCCTTCTGGCCTTGAGAAGAAAAGTAAAAACTTGGCTATGGGACCCAGCCTTTAGGCAGTAAGCAGTACAAGGAATGATCAGGGATTATGTGCAATAGATGTGATATCGGAACTGCCTGGATTACGATTGTTGGATTGTGTGATTTTAATGTTTATATTGATATGTTTTTAATTCCATGTTTTAATGTTAAATGATGTTAGGTTTCTTTATGTGGGGCATTAAATTTTGCGTAATTATGTCGGAAACCGCTTTGAATCCCCTGCTGGGAGGAGAAAAGCGATATACAGGTGAAGTAAGTAAATAAGTAAGTAATATCCCAATGAACTGTGAATGTTAGAGACATCTAAAAGCATGCAAGCCTTCTCTTTATCACAAATGTTTTGAGGATATGGAACTTGAGATAACTGCGGTGTAATGTCGCAGGTCTACCTTTATTTTTGCATTACTTTCAACAATTTAAATCAACTTACAACCAAAGGGATAATTTGGTACATTGAGCCCCCTGATTTCTGAAGCTAAAAGATATTTGTTTACTCAAACGCCACTTTGCTGAATTTTAACTGGACCCAAGAATACGAGATACTTCTTTACATTTTCCCCCTACAATTCACTTTAACATTTCACAGATGAAAACCAAGACACATGTGGCCAAGCAATACTACAGTCTGGACAAAATGCCCAAAGTCAACTGCTTTGAATACAAACATCCTCTAATGCCTGTTAATTCATGAGCACCTGGGGAAGGCAATATGAAATAAAAGAGTTGGAAGAGACCACAAGGACCACCCAGTCATTCACATTTGTCACTGCATATAGGTAGCAAAATCACACCAGAGTTTTCTTACCAGCTGTTGACCTTTTGGTCCCCATCCGGCATATTGGAGCTTTGTGTTGCTGACTTCAGGAGGGTACAAATTCTGAGGTTCTCTGTAAGAAAACAGAAAAAAAAATGTTGAGTCATGGAGCATTTTCTTCTACATTCTAGCCCAAGAATAACTTTAGGCTTTTTCCAGACTTGCAAAGCGCTTGTCTTGATTGGCTTCCATTTAGAAAACTGTGTAGAATACGTCATGTTGAGAGAGAGCTGGGGACATTTTTTTTCATTTTGGATTTTAAGTTTGGATTTCGCCATATCATGTGAATTTTGTTATGTCCATTTCATCCTACTTTATAATAAAGATAATCCAAATTTCCGCAGAAAACCTGAGACTGCAGTTTCATAAACAAATGCAATAACTCATAACTTCAACAGACTAGACCAGACATGGGCAAACTTCAGCTCTCCAGGTGTTTTGGAATTCAGCTCCCACAATTCCTAACAGCCGGTACTATTATTTTCGTTGCTACTTCAAAACTGTAATTTTGCTCCTGTTATGAATCGTAATGTAAATATCTGATATGCAGGAGATATTTTCATTCACTGGGTGAAATTTGGCACAAATACCTGATACGCCCAAATTTAAATACTGGTGAGGTTGGGAAGGGGGTTGATTTTGTCATTTGGGAGTTGTAGTTGCTGGGGTTTATAGTTCTCCTACAAACAAAGTGCATTTTGAACTCCACCAGTGATACAATTCAGCCAGGCTTCGCACAGACACTCCCATGACCAACAGAAAATACTGGAAGGGTTTGGTGGGCATTGACCTAGAGATTTTTAGTTGTAATTCACCTATATCCAGAAAGCACTGTGGACTCAAACAATGATGGAGCTGGACCAAATTTTGCATGACTATTCAATATGCCCAAATGTGAAAATTGATGAAATTTTGGGGAAATAGACCTTGACCTCTGGGAGTTGTTGTTGATGGAATGTATAGTTCACCTACAATCAAAGGGCATTCTGAACCCACCAATGACAGAATTGGGTCAAACTTCCCATACAACTTCCCTTGAAGGGACTCGCTGGCACGAGCCTCCCTGCTGCCTTGCATGCTCTCCCTCACCTGCGCATGCACACCACGCTACCATGTGCTGAGCACACTTGCTCTCCCCTCCCCACTTGGAGTCTCAGAAACAGCCCTCCTCTTGGCTGAGAGGCCAGCCAATCACAGCAGAGGAGGGCTTTTAGTGGGAGGATTTGCCATCTGTTTCCAAAAAGGAAGAGAAGGACAGGTGGAGAGATCTTCAGCCTTCTCTGCCAAAGGGGTTCCTAAGATCATCAGAAATATATGTTTTCTGATGGTCTTTGGCAAGCCCTCTGAAACCCCATCACGAACCCCCCAGGGTTCCCAACCCCCAGGTTGAGAAACACTGCTTTAGGGAGTATCTGGAGTATATCTACTTCATTTTATGATCACAACAACCCTATGAGTTCTTTTTAAAGATGGCTTACATTCCCCATCTATTATTTGTAATATACATTTCATTTATCTCTGATAGCAAACTCCTTTTAACATTATTAGCACTTATTTCCAGTATTCACAAGGAAGACTGATGATGATAGGTGGAGTTGGGCAGGTTGAAAAGCCTTATGAGTCCATTAATGCATCAATTACTTCCGATGATAATGTTTTTCTCCATTTGTCTCCCTCTCTCCCTGTCTCTGAGAGAAAGAGAATGTGAGAGAGGAGAGGAGAGAGACTAATTCACAAGGCAAAGAACTTTGGCATCTCTTCAATTTCCTTTGCATCTGATATGCAAATTAACTGGAGAGTGGAATACTATTTGTACTATCTGCTGAATACCGATCTGTCACAGCTCCTTTCCCAAAGAATCTTTTCTGTTTGCTCTTTTGAAACTCTGACTGCGTTTAAAAATAAAAACCAAGATTGAGCATGGCAAATAGGATTTGGGAACAGAAACTAGACAGCTCATTCAATAATCTCTATCAGGAGTGGGAATCCACAGGAATAAATGCAGCCCTGGAGGAGTGCTGTCCAGTGCATCCTTTGAGACCTCCATACTCTCAAATTGTGGCCTACCATGATATTCGAAGAGCCAAAAATGGTTCTCTAAACTCCGGAGAAAGTCCTCCTCTTATGACATTAATCAGAAGTGGCAAACAATGCACAAGTATCTCAAATGACAAAGAACAAAAATGTATGTATGTAAATCTTAGCAGACTCTCAAGACAGTAATATACAACAGTATTCTATGTTCTCTATTGGCATAACTTGTCTGAGACTTTATAGCATTAAATAAATATGTTATCAGCACATTAACATAGAGAAATCAACAACAGACTAAAGGTAATAGAGTCCATCCTTTCAGTGAAGAAATTCCAGAGTCTCTATCTTTATCTTCAAAAAAAATTCTTCTTTTGATAAGACAGTCTCAAGGAATTCTTCTTGGGCAACAAGGTCTTTCATAGGCAACAAAATCTCAACAAGGTCTTCCGGTATGTTTATCCTTGTTTCGAACAATATCTTCCTCAGGGTGTAGTCTGTATCTTATTATGCTTAGTGCACTAAATAAGGAGTAGAAATAACATACAACATAGATACATGAAACTCCCCAAAATAACATTGATTAGAAAAACATTTTGTAATAACAGTAAAGATACATGCTACTCTACTTACATTCTCTTCAGTAATACAGGTTCTGTACTACAGGCTCTGTTGTAGTAGGAGTTCTGTAACGAATGGGTCCACTGAGTCTTCATTATATGTACATTTTAATGAAAAAGCACATACACACCATAGCTTTAAATTTTGCGCTTTGGAAAAAATATTACCCAGACCTAATGCAGATACAAAAAAACTCCTTCTGCAAAGGGAATCTTTTTGGATCTTCAAACTACAAACACTGGTTCCTCTAGGACTAAATGATAAAATTGAATACACTTGTTTCTTGTGAGATGTAATTCTACTTAAGAGACAGCCCAGCTATGACTCACTGCTCGTTACAGAACTCCTACTACAACAGAGCCTGTAGTACAGAACCTGTATTACTGAAGAGAATGTAAGTAGAGTAGCGTGTATCTTTACTGTTATTACAAAATGTTTTTCTAATCAATGTTATTTTGGGGAGTTTCATGTATCTATGTTGTATGTTATTTCTACTCCTTATTTAGTGCACTAAGCATAATAAGATACAGACTACACCCTGAGGAAGATATTGTTCGAAACAAGGATAAACATACCGGAAGACCTTGTTGAGATTTTGTTGCCTATGAAAGACCTTGTTGCCCAAGAAGAATTCCTTGAGACTGTCTTATCAAAAGAAGAATTTTTTTTGAAGATAAAGATAGAGACTCTGGAATTTCTTCACTGAAAGGATGGACTCTATTACCTTTAGTCTGTTGTTGATTTCTCTATGTTAATGTGCTGATAACATATTTATTTAATGCTATAAAGTCTCAGACAAGTTATGCCAATAGAGAACATAGAATACTGTTGTATATTACTTGTCTTGAGAGTCTGCTAAGATTTACATACATACATTTTTGTTCTTTGTCATTAATCAGAAGTGGGCCTGGTTTGGTCTCTTAAAAAACAAACACCCATATGCACAAATCACTTTTTGGATGTATTATTTCTTCCAAACATATAAATCAGTGATTCTCAATCTTCCTATTTCCACAGCTCCTTAATACAGTTCCTCATGTTGTGGTGACCTCCAACCATAGAATTATTTTTGTTGCTACTTCATAACTGTAATTTTGCTACTGTTATGAATTGTACTGTAAATATCTGATATGCAGGATGTATTTTCATACACTGGACCAAATTTGTCCAAATTTGAATACTGGTGGGATTGGGTGGGGAAATTGATTTTGTGATTTGAGAGTTGCAGTTGCTGGGATTTATAGTTCACCTACAATCAGAGAGCATTCCAAACCCCACCAATGAGGGAATTGAACCAAACTTGGCACGCAGAACTCCCATGACCAACAGAAAACACTAGAAAGGTTTGGTGGACATTAACCTTGAGTTTTGGAGTTGTAGTTCACCTACATCCAGAGAGCACTATGGACTCAAACAATGGTGGATTTGGACCAAACTTTGCACGAATCCTCAATATTCCCAAAATGTGAACACTGGTGCAGTTTTGGGGAAAATAGTCCTTGATATTTGGGAACTGTAGTTGCTGAGATTTATAGTTCACCTACAATCAAAAGCATTCTGAACCCCACAGAATCCCCATGACCAACAGAAAATACTGTGTTTCTTGATGGTCTTTGGCGACCCTCTGACACCCCCTCATGACCCCCCCAAGGGTCCTGACCCCCAGGTTGAGAAACGCTGATATAAATAATGGAGGCACAGTGGGTCTGCAGTTCATATTGGATGGGATATTAATAGTTCACTACAAGTCATGACATAGGCAGCAGAAACTTTGCAGAAGCAATAGAATCAGAGTCAAAGTTTCAGTTTGGGAGATTTGGGCATGAAATGGTATGCCATCACTCTTTTCTTGCATATTTAACTTGCACAATAAGAATGCTCAGTTAGATGAATAATGAGTAATGGACCATGATAGCTGCCGAACAGCTGGTGAGTGCAATTTTTTGCCAGAAGGGGAGGCACCCTCCACTTCTAGACTGTCTGTTTTTAGTATCAGTTTGACACATTGAGATATAGCTTTCAACAAAATCAAAGCTTGCTCTTACAGACAACTCATGAACTGGATTATCCTTTCATGGACTACCTTTCAACTACATTCTTAAGGAGTAATCCATGGTGGAACCAAGATAGTCAGCAAAGATGATAGTTTGGCCAGAAACAGAGAAAGCTAGTGCTCTTGGCTTCGTACATGAGAGTGTGTGCTTTTCTTTTTTTTGTTGTGTCAGGAGCGACTTGAGAAACTGCAAGTCGCTTCTGGTGTGAGAGAATTGGCCGTCTGCAAGAACATTGCCCAGGGGATGCCCGGATGTTTTGATGTTTTATCATCCTTGTAGGAGGCTTCTCTCATGTCCCTGCACGAGGAGCTGGAGCTGATAGAGGGAGCTCATCTGCGCTCTCCCTGGATTCAAACCTGCAACCTGT